ATCGCAACATTTGGAGCCTAGACACGTAAATCACGACAATTTTTTCTCCGCAGCAAGAAATGGAACCATATGTCCTCGTTCGCACCCCATAAATATCGCACTGTTGTTCTGAGCCCGAAAAATCTCTAAAGCTATTGCAAAATATTGCCAGAGCATGCACATAATTCTTTGAATCAGCATTTTTTGGCGCACAGAGTGCGCAGTGAACAGACTTCGAGAACATCGTCTATTCGGTAGGGTTTTGCGGCTTAAATGCTATAAATCATGAGTACCAAAGATTTCAAACATCTGTCCGGAACTGTACGTCCACCGGCACATTCCCACAGATTTCCAAACGATTAATTTGCATGTGTTACGCGTCGATCCATCAACATTGGCGCTGGTAGTGCACGCGCAAACGCTTTGTGAACAGGGCAGCATCCAAGGGTCCGAACCGGATGGGGCTGGAAAGGCTGGGAATGGTGGGTGGACGAGGCGTTTGGACAGTAAGAGCAGAATACCACGGAATTTTAGACGAATCTGATTATCGCAGCCTTGGATTTTTTCGGCAAATTTACTATTCTAGAAAGATTTTAGACCAACTTCTTCGCTTCGCTTGTTAGCACTAAAATATCAAAAAGAGTTTTTATTTTCACTACGGGAACACTTCTCAAACAGGGACCGTTTAGTTCATGTCTATGGCTTCAAAAGTCAAGCAATCCCTGTAAAAATTCTAGAAACTAGGGAGGTCTGGATGGGATTTGACAACTTTGCCTCTCTTAATACGTGAGGTGTAGGATTCCAGTAACAACAAACTTGATTTTTCCTCTTCCTCCCTCTCCCCCTTCTTTGCCTCCCTTCTTCTACTTCTCGTTTCACCAATTGCCTGTTACTTGCACCACAGTAAACTTATCAATAAGCGGAGTTTAAATCTGTATATTTAATCTATTTCAGTTCTTCTACGAAAGACCTCTTTTTACATACATATTGAATATTCCTGCACAAATTCAAATTAACACAATAACTTGTTGAGTAATCCGTAAGAATGTTTTCGCTGACAATTTCTTCTGAAAAATGTGTATGTCTAGAGAATTGGCTAGTTTTCGTGTGATACCCATTTTTTTGAAACTGATTTGTTAGTGTGAAAATGCCCTGCGCTAGAATAAATCTCTAGCTGTGCGTGCTCGCTGCTCGAGACGTTGATTTACAATGCAAGTCGTATTTCTAGATCAAGTCAGTTGATGCGTGAGATAATCGTGGCTAGGCTTTAGGGGGTTCACTGAGGGGGAATGAAAAATATATGCGAAAGGAGAGTACAACTTATCTTATATGTAGTTTTATACATCAGAAGAAGGGGTATGACATTAAAGATTCGAGTAGAACGAAATAATAAGATTCTTGATTCCGAGTTATCATATTGGCTTTATATTGATGGTTTCAAAATGGTTCACTTTAATAATTTGAAGTATTTTTGAACCTTGTCCTCTAGAGTAGCTGCTTCAAGCGCATTATCAAATCTCTTTCAAAAATTTTTCTTAAACTTCCAATTTGAGGCGGATCACGAGGTGAAAAACGGCAACGGACAGCATACACAAGAAATCAGGTCCTGGAACTCGAAAAGGTTAGCACTTCAAATTTTTGCCTATTCAATCAGTTATTGATTTGCTTAATCTTTTCAATCAGTATGGACTAAGCCAAACTGTTCAGGAATTTCATTTCAATAAGTATTTGACGAGGAAAAGGCGAATTGAAATTGCACACTCGTTGATGCTCACAGAACGGCAGGTTGGTGCAATGTTTTATATATTTTCTGATTATGGAAAGAGCAGATTTAACATGAACTTGCAATACTTCCAATGAATTTTTGTTGAACGTTGTCATTGATCTTGTGATTTTTTGAGCTAGATTGGTCCTTTTCAGGTCAAAATATGGTTCCAAAATAGGCGGATGAAACATAAAAAGGAGAACAAGGTAAGTACTCACAAATTCCCTTTATTTCTTCTTCTTTTATAACCGGAAGTGTGGCTTCAGTCGTGATTTCTTGTATATCTCTTCATGGACTGCATCATTCTTTCAAAATGATAAATGTGGCCTATTTGGAAATTTTTACAAAGCTTTGCCGCCCTTCTCAAATTTCTTTGCGAATTTCTCTGCTCAAACGCATTTCTTATGGAAAAACCTGTCGATTCGATTACTGTCCATCGCTTCGCCATAAATTCGCCGTCAAAAATCTGCGCACGAAAAACTTGTCGCACATATGTTCGTGTCGCAACCGATTTCGACCGCAACATGTCACTGAAACAACTCACAGTAGCCCTGCTCCTCCACCCTTTTCCAACCAAACACATGTGTGATTTGAGAGGAAGGCAAGAGGGAGAGTACCTTCTAGGAATGGATTGCAATGCTAGCATCCAAATCTGAGAAAAACGCTTAGAAGCATGGGAATTGAAACTTTGTGTGTTTAACCCATTAACGACGATGTGGATCACCGGTGGGTCACGCACTTTCTGCCGCCAGGGACGATGTGCAACACCGGTGGGCTCACACCTCTTACAAAATCTATCCTTTTCAGGATCTTATACTTTTTCCAGAATTCAGTATTTTCTCCAGTTTTTTGCCTCTTAGGACCCATAGACTTCGCCGTTCAAGAAGATGATTGTAGTTTTTACAAAACAGTTCTACACTTCGTAAATAATCACAAAAATTTTCCAACGCCATAGTGTTGTGCAACATCGCGTCGTCCCTCAGCGCCGCCAAGCAAAATCAGGCGTCGTCGTCAATGGGTTAAGAAATGCGATTGATGCTTGCCTTGATGGTCCATCCTAAAAAAAAATTTTGAATTTGTGAAACGAATGTATTCGGTGACTTCGTAAAAGTAAATAAAGGCGATGTCGCGTCAAAACGCTGCTTTTGTACAACCCTCTCAACTCAGATCTCAA